CCATCTGATAGGGCATTATCTCCCTTACACTTGCAGGTTATACATGTGAGTATATAAAAACAGACTAAACAGCTGGGCGTGGCGGTGCATGCCTGTAATCCCAGCACTTGGGAGGCTGAGGCAGGAGGATCGTTGTGAGTTCGAGACCAGCCTGGGCTACAAAGTGAGTTTAAGGCCAGCCTGAACTACATAGTGAGACCCTGTCTCAAAAAGAACAAAATCAAAAACCAAAACAACAGACAAAACAGTTTTTAATGGGAGTTAGAGACTTCACAGTGATAAATACATGGGTTGAATTCACTATGTGAAAATCGTGTATTCTAATTGATTGCTCCTGGCATATAGGAGTCAGCGATGGTCTCTCCTTTTTTTTTTTTCAGGTTTAATCTGTCATTGCCATATGTCTATGATGTACATGTGAAAGCCTTAAACTATTTCACCATCTTTACTCTCCGCTTCATCTCCTACTATTCTGGGGAGGGATGAGGGGGTCTTTCCTTTTGCCTAAAGGCAAGTGAGACAGAGACCTTCTCTAGAAACTCTACTATTAAGGCATAGTTACTTATGTCACTGAGCAGGGAGAGTTTAGCCTCAGTTCTTATCTAAGGACTGTCAGTGTTTTTATCTTCCCATGTACTTAGCACATAGCTTCTTATAAAGCTGTAGCCCCAAGCAGAATGTTGGCAACTGTTTTGCTCCTCTTGCATGGAGGGGCAGGGGTGCCCTGGGCTGCAAGCTGAAAGCCTGGTCCAAATCTTCTTTCTCCTGGAAGGCACTTACATCTGCATTACTTCACAGGCGTAATTACTTACTCTTTCTCTTGCTTCTAGATTCACTTCAAAGCCCAGAGGGTCAGTGTTACAGTTTGGGGTTTTGCAAGGGGAACAATATAATACAGGACATGTATTTTATAAGATTATTTATAATAGTCACCCAAAAAAATCATATGCAAAGAGAGTGCAGGAAATCTGTCCACACACTAACGACCAAAGAATCCAGCTAAAGACCTGGATCCCATGGTAATGTCTGCATGAGTCCAGCTAAAGGCCTAGAGCCCCTAACAATCCCTCCCACAAGTCCAGTTAGAACCCACGACAATGTCTCACGCAGGCCTGTTTCACAGATCTGTGCTGGGAAGGCCCAAAGGTCAGTGGTGGAAGCTAGAAAGTCTGTACCAGCAGGATGAAGGATCTGTGCTAGCAGGCTGAGGGAGTTGCCCTGGAGACAGGAAGCAATGCTCGCAGTAAGAACTAGAGCTCCCCGGAAAAATACCACGGCCATTGTCAGCAACAGTGAGGTCCCTAGCTCCTCCAACAATGAGGAAAGCCGAGTTCCCATCAGGAAAACTAACGCGACAAACTTCTCCAGGAGACTGAGCAGTGCACTGTCTTCCCCTCTGGAGCCAGGAAGAGATGCCCAAAGTAAGGACCAGAGCTCCCCCAAAGTGAACTGAAGGCATTCTCAGCAACAACAAGGTCCCAAGCTCCTCAGATTATGAGAACAGTTGAGTTCATCAGGAAAGCCAGCATGACAAGCTCCTCTAAGAGAACCAACAGCTCCTGACAGCTTCTAACAGCACCCAACAGCTTCTACCAGCTCCCAACAGCCTCTCTCAGCTCCCAATAACCTCTCCTTCTCCAGTTCTGTCTCTTATGCTGCCAGTAACAATCCTCAGGTGGACCTCCCACACCCAGCACCATCCTGGTTCAGTTCAGCTGACCACCAGTTGTCAATCCACTACAGTCTGCAATTTCAGCATATTCACGGAGCATATTCATTTTCTCAGGCTGCTATAACAAAGTGCCATTGAATGGGTGGCTTAAATAACAGACATTTATTTCTCATAATTCTATAGGCTGAGAAGTCTGATGTCAAGGTGCTAGCCAACTCAGTTCCTGGTAAGGACTCTCTTCCAGGCCTGCACATGGCTTTGTCAGTGTTCCCACACATGGCCCAGAAAGAGTGCTCTGTGTCTCTTCTTAATACCCCCCCATGGAACCTCCATTATCTCAAAAGCTCTCTATCTACAAACCATCACACTGGGCTGGTTTCAACATAAGAATTATACAGGGCAGGCGGAGGACACATAATTCAGTCTACAGCACACAGCTAGGTCTCTCCTTTTTTTTTCAGGTTTAATTTGCCATTGTCATATGTCTACGATATATATGTGAAAGCCTTAAACTATTTCACCATTTTTACTCTCTACTTCATCTCCTACCATTCTGGGGAGGGATGAAGGGGTCTTTCTTTTTGCCTGAAGGCAAGTGAGACAGAGACCTTCTCTAGAAACTCTCAGACCATTTGACTTGTGGCTCCTGGAGGTCCACAGGGGATGCTGTCTTAACTCTTACCTAGGTAAGGAAAAAAGCAAAATGTTAGCTGAGTAGCTGCGCTGGGATGGCAGGTGAGGTGGTGGCATGGGAGCCAGACGCACTGCCCTTGCCACCAGAGCAAAGATGCTGGTGTTATCCTGTGAGCCAAGTGTTCTTAGAAGGTAGCCAACTGGGAGTTATTTAAAAGGACTCCTTCCCACAAGGGATGCCTAGAAAGGAAAGAGAAGGAAGGAGTGAGCTTTACATGGAGTGAGCCTCCAGAAGGCCAAGGGCTTGGGAGAGGGAGTCACAGGCAGTCAACTAGAGAGGGAACATCCTAGGAAGAGTCCTAAAGCCCACCAGGGTGACACAACAGAGAAGAGCCAACATTTATGAGTCATCCATGTACAACGGGAACCAATTTTGAAAGAAAAGCGCACCCTGAAGGGAAGTCTGTGCTCTTTCTGTCTAACCCCTCTCTTCCTGCACCAAGCCTCTGAGGCAGCGTTGGGGAGTGGGTAGGAACAGTAGCCAGACACCCAGAGAGGAGGAGTGGACTCAGAGGAGTAAGGGCCAGATGTGCAGAACCCACACACCTCCTTTCCTCCCTTCATCACAGAAAGCTCCAAATCTGAAGCAGGTGGGAAGAACCTGTAGCTTAAAGGAAGCTTGAAGTTTTCATTGTTATCTTGGACTTAACATTTTCACCACTGCAATAAGACTATTTGTGTAAGTGGAAAATATTCCAAAAATGAAGGAATCTGCGGGCAATTTTATGCAGGACACAGAGCAATGCATAGGGAAGTGTGAGGAGGAAGAAGAAGTTTCTGATCTCATAATACAAGGTCAGCTCCGCTGATAAAAATTCTTCCTCAGTATTAGAGAAAGATCGAGGAGAAAAAGTTCATATGGAGTACAGTGTAACAAATCCTGATTAAAATGTGCTGATTCTAAGTATCGTATACACAGTGATTAACATTTTCTTTACATGTACTTCAATCCCACCAAAGCGTAGGTAACCAAAATCCACAGAAAGGTTAATAAAGACACGACATACAACTCTGGCAGGGGTTTTTATTTTTTCCCCATAAAATACTCTTTGCCAGGTGTGGTGGCGTATGCCTATAATCCCAGAACTTGAAGAAGGTTCCTCCACAGGTTGGAGGCCAGCCTAGGATACATAGTGAGTTCAAGACCATCCTGAAGTACCTGTCTCAAAAAGCCAGAAACAAACAAACAAACCTTTTAAATGTACTTTTATAAGGGGTGGAATAAGCTGAGTGTAATAAAAATCCACTAGTAAAACTTATATACTTTATTTTTACAGAGCTACAACATAAGCCTATGTCATCAAACACGTGGAATTTTAAACAATAAAAACTTGTTAGCAAATGAATAGATTTTATAATTTTTTTGTTCCGCCCTTGCTTTGAAATCAAAAACCTTTTATGCCTATTTCAAGTTTTGCATTTAGTTGATGAAAAATACGAAGCCTTCTTTCAGTCCACATTTTTTTTCGTGTTTTGCACATAGTATTTCTTTCGTGTGCTGTCTTTTTCAACTTTTGGTTTTAGGATGCAGAGCCCTAAGACTGGTTACAGAGACGGGTGAGGAAGGGGTGTGCGAACGTCTCTACCCGGTGGTGGCGAGGTGCTCAAAACCCGGGGACACATCCTCTGAGGCCTGTTTACGATCCATTCACACCACTCACCCCCGGGCCTCAACTTCCCCATCCTCAATTTAAACCTCTAGAGATTGCGGGGTCAGAAAGTCACCTGACGGCCGTCTGACAACCTCCGTGGGCGCCCTCCTCCCACGGCTAGCAGTTTCAGAGGCATTTATCTTCCCACCATTGGAGCCCCAATAGGGGACTAGGGTTGGGATCGTAGGGACAGCTCCAACGCGCTCACACAGCTCTAGACCCGGAGGACGCAGAAACGTCCGCCCTCCAGAGAAAGCGCTGCAGCTTCAATAACCTCCGCCTCTTCCGCCCCGTCCACCACAAGCGGAGACCCCGGGTGTCACGTGACCGCCCGGGGCGGGTGGTGGGCGGCTCGACGCCGGCCATTTTGTGCGCTGGGGGCGGGAGCATGCGCGGCACGGGACGCGCGCCTCAACTCCCTCCCCTCCCTTGCCTCGCGCCGCTTCCGCGCTCCGCCCCGCGCTCTGAGGAGCGGAGAGGCGCAACTAGGAGCGGGGAGCCCCGGAGGGCGGGGGGGTGTGTCGGCCGCGCGCTCACGCCCTGTAACCGCCAGCTACTGCTGCGGCGGCGCGCTCGGGCCCCCAGAGGTGCGCGGGGCTGAGCTGAGGGCAGGGGGCG